GCAATAATAGAATTACTTTCATTAATGGTAGTAGTATTTGGAAAGTACGATGTTGAGTTAATTGATATGAAGGCGCCACTAAAGACAGAAAGCGGGGCAATAACCATTTGTGGAGAATTGCCAGTTAAAATTAGACCTAGAAAATATCCATTGTAGTTATTATAAAGTTTCTTTTTGACTTTTTTTTGTTTGCCTTTTTATATAATAAAATTTTTTGTTTGATACAAAAAGTGAATTATAGTCCGAGCAAGACATTAAGATTTTTGCAACCTTTTTTTAGTGTAATTTTATGTACTCCCGTTCCTGGAACTGGAATATCACATATCTACTGTATTAATCGGTATACTCAAAGAAGTTTTAATTCGAGCTTAGTTTGAGGTGAATCCTACTGTGAACAATCATATGACAATAAAGGAATATTCAAGCATAATTAACAAGCCTTGCGTCTGCTCATGCGCTGGGTGTTTTTTTTTAATATTTTTTGTTAATGTTTATTGGTTGACAAGAATGTTCTACCATAAATTTTCATACAAACCAACCATACCAAACATGTCTAATATACATACGAACGAAAATTAATAACATTTATGTACTGAATAAGTTGATGTTCTAAAGATATGTAGAAACATATATGCAAAATAAATATTTACTTATAACAATCATGCAGAAATCACTAACTTTGGATGCTCTCAAGCACCTCACTCAATGAATCAGAGGTAATTTTTTTAATTAAAGTGTTCTCAAGTACCTCACTCAATGGATCGGAGGTAAATTTTTAATAGTCAAAAATTCAATAATTTAACCACGAGAGCTGCCATTTCGATGAACAAGTCAGCGAGCTACAACCCATCTTTTTTCTTCAAATTTATCATTGATAAAGGTCGCTAGAGCATTACTTCTGCATTTTTTACATGATAAACAATGAATTCTCAAAAAATTTGAAAAAATGGATAATTTATTTTTAATGCTCGAAACTTTTAAAGCAAATAATTGATATCTTGATATGAACGTAATAAATGCAACCTATCTTTTAACCTTTAATCAAACTATAATTTTCGTTTTTCGTTCACTAAATTTAATAATTTTTCGACCCAAAAGTTGAAGGATTTTGGGCTGATGTTTTTTATTTAACGGATAATGAAGGTTATTACTTTTTTTTCGAAAAGAATAATTTCGTATTGCATATGATTCTTTTAGCGTGAACTAGCAAATGCAGAATTACTATAGTTAGCCTATAAAATAATTTTTTTAAAAAATTTACTTGTTTTCACAAAGCAATTTTCGCTAACGACTCCGTAAGTTGATTCTGTTACCGTTGCAACAAAATTTTAATTGGTAAACCCAATAAGAGGTAAAGACAGTGAAACTGAAGTTGAAGCTTCGACAGATGGTTGAATAAAATTTTTTTTATTAGGTATTTAGGGGGCGCAGATAAGATTATTGTTCGAAGGACATTATGGTAGAGGAATAGTGACCCTGATGTCTGTGTGTGTGTGCGCGAACCTGGGTTTTGATTGGTTGATCAGGTCAAACAATAATTATGCTCCAAAAATAACCGGGTTGTCAGACTGATCCGAGTCGATTCTTTCGGACTTAAATGGGTTCCATTTACCTAGTTAAAAATAGAAGGATTACGCTCAAGCATTTACTTCTATAAATGTCATCATTGGTTGTGATCGCTGAGTGTTACCATGATTATAATTTAATTAATAGATTGAGATGCTTGAGAATACTCTTAATCAAAAATCAGCTAAAAAAAATTATTCAGCAAATTTAAGTGTTTCAGAAATTATGAAATCAGCCGTAAAGTGTAATGGCGAAAATGATAAAAAAAAATAACTCTAGAAACATCGATTACCAAAATTTCAATCAAACAAAAATAGGTTATTTATTCGGACATTTTCTAAATTGGCAATTTATAGTATGCAAATTAGAGATTTTTTTTTTCTTTTGTTCCCCTTTTTAAATCACCGTTTACTGTCATCACATATATTTCGTTAGTGCTGCGCAATGCTTCGAAGTGCTGTGTTAATATAGACATTGAAATTTGTGAAACTCAAAATTAGCAAAAGTAGCTAACTGAAGAAAATCAATTACCAAATATAAATGCCAATCCAACCAATCCCAGAAAAGTAATTTAGCGTAACACCAAACGCTAACAATTATTTCGAAGCGCTAACTAAAGAAATTGGTGCAATATAAGCGTGAAATAACTTCGCACTTATACAATATGAAATATCGTTATTAGTCCAAAACGGTCACATTACTATAGTAAAGAAATCCCAAACATAATATAATCATTACAGTTTTAAATGTATGCTTAATAAATCTACCTAACAATTATACGAAGATCCTGATAGAAATAGGAACATACCGTGTTCTCTCATCTGAAAAAAAAAACCAATAGACGACTGTTATACTGGAGCAGATGTAAACAGGTGGTTTGTTACACGAATGTAAAAAGCAGAGATGGGTTTCATGTGTGCGCAATAATGCACATGATTCAGAATCAAGCACATTTTACCAGTGTTTTCAAATGACTTGAGATGACTCAAATAATTCAGTGACCTAGTCATTTATCGGTCATTTAGAAAAAATGACCTGAATTTAGTCATTTGAAATACACAAAATTAAAAAACTCTGGTCTATTCTCCGACTATCAATAGCATTCTTTTGTCAATTTTTATTACTTATTGTTTTTAAGTTTTAAAAAATTTTTATCAATCCAAACTTGTAATCGTAATTGTTTAAAAAATATACTGCAAACAAGAACGACTTTATTTCAAGTTTTATTTCATCGTTTATTTATTGCTTTAGCATTCCTATCTTAGTAACTTTAAATGTCTTGTATTTTTCCTTTTTAATTCTTAATTATTTCGATAACAATATACAATGTTATAGTCATTATACAATATTTACAAATAGCAGCCTGATTTCCTCTCTTGTTAGTAGTAAGTAAAAATAAGGACGATAGTTATGAGGTGATTTTCCCATTATTACAAGTGCACTGCGAAATTTACACATTATAAAAGTTCAAAGTAAATAATGATATTTAAATAAATAAAATACTAATTAAAAGTCAAAAATGAACAAATGATGTAAGTCATTTTAGATCATTTATAGTCATTTGATTTTAGTCATTTGCTTAATTTTGAAATAATATGTGACCAAATGACCTATGAGAATTTAGTCATTAAAGTCACTTCATTTCAAAAATCAAATGACCTGGTCATTTGAGAACACTGCATTTTACCCCATTTATATTTTAGGCCACACAAAGTTAACTTTTCGTTCTGCATAACCTGATGTTCTGAAATTCCAATCGACGGGTCAGATTTTTTTTTAATATACTGTAAATTAATAGTTTTATATTTATATCTAAGACCACACAAAGTTATTTTTCGTTTTGCATAATATGGAATCAGGAAATTTGGAGCTTTTGTTTTTTTTTTATCAGACCTGCCGGGTAATCCTGAAAAATTAAGGTCACCATCGAATGACACCGGATTAATTTATGCAAAAAAAAAAAAAATTAATACGTAGCAAAAAAAGAAGCAATTGAAACTTTTTTAAAAAAAAAAGAAAGAAATTTTGAAAAATTTGGTCAGCGGGTTATGCAAAACGAAAAATTAACTTTACATGGCCTTATATAGAAAAAATAAAGTATATATAATTTTGACCAGAGAGTATAATGCTTAGCGGAATTAAGAAATATGAATGCAAAAATTCCTAAAAGAAAAATGAATGAACATAAAAGGTAGGGCAAAAATTTGGGCAACCTATTCGATATTTTCTGAGGGGAAATATAAAAACAAAAAAATTATATCATGTGATATCATGCGCATTTTTCCCATCTAGTAAAAACTGTGTCGTGACGAATATTATACAGTATTTTCTAATGTAGTTGAATTTGATGATTTGGTCTGAAAATTAGGTGTTATCTCTTAAACCGTTTTAATTTCCGGGCAGATCTGCTCTGAATTTAATAAAAATGCCTCTGATTTATTTTTTTAAAAAATTTATATATTTAAATAAATGTTTTTTAAATAATATTTAAGATGAAAATTATATTTTGGTAAAATTTACATTTAAATTATAAAATAAAAAATTTAAGTTGTATATATATCAAAAACGTACAAATTTAATTTTTTTTAATTAAAAAAAAAATAATTTATAATTTTATAGCAAATTCTTTTAAATATTAATTCCAAATCTATTATTTATAACATAATATTATAAATTATATTATAAATTATATTAAAAATAACAACATTTAGTAAATTTTGTAACAGAATTTTTTACTGCAATAATAAAAGCATAATAATTCAAGACAAGGTAACTCAACAACATTAACTACATAATGTGTGTCTAGTGATGTGCCACATATAGTACTATACATACAGTACGTACTGTATTCTAAAATTTTTGCCGATCACTTGCTCCAGCCAATCAGATGCCAGAAAAGAACTATACATACAGTACATACTGTATGTACTGTACATACTGTATGCTAAAATTTTCTTGCCATTATATAAATGGCACATTACTATATAAAACAAAAGAATAAAAATAAAAGATACATATACAGTACCATTAGTGAAATAGTAATGGCACAAAAATTTGGCAGTCCTGTAACTAATTCAATAACAACGATATCCTAATTTTGTCTAAAAATTAATAGTTGCATTAATACAAAACAGAAAGAATATATCTATATCTAAATTTTTGTGTTAAAACTTTTATATAACAAGACCAATTTCTATGAATTTTTTGTGATTTTTGGTTTTTTTCATGAGACCATCAAATTTTTGTACTATCACTATTTCACTTTTATGTCAAGCTAGATTTTATTGTTACAATAATTCAGGTTATATTGGATTACTTTTATGCAATTTTGGAGCACAGTTACGTTAAGTTCCTCTAATATCAGAACAAGACGTTTCTGCATCTTATCAATTGCATAAAAGTGTTGCTAATGTCTGGCAGCTCTATAAAAAATTATAAAGTTGATTGCATCAAAGACATCAGGGTCTATTCTGCTAAATTTATTTTCCAAGTCTTCTAAAGCCAAGCCAAGATTTTCTTTGTCTGCATTTTTTTCTCCTTTTAGAACAAGAGCACCCTTTATTTTGTATATACCCTGGGTCAGATCTGTTATGGTCTAGATCTATTGGAAGAAATTCTCCAAGACACTTTTTAAATAGTTCAAGAGTATTAACAATCAACAGAATATGCATCATGTCTTCAGATCTGTTGATTGTGTTATACTTCCACGGAATTGTTTCACTTAACATATAAGTTATGTGAGATGCTAGTTAATTTTCACAATCTTCTTCATTCAAATAAAAGAATTTTTAAAAGTTTTTATCTTGAATTTAAAATGAGATAGGCAACTTGCAAATGAGTTGTTTTTGAAGAAGCACCAAAAGATCGTTTACCTTTTTTGGAATAGAATAAAAAGGTTTTATAAGTTAGTTGCATATTATCATGTATTTTTCTTATTGATCCTTTTTGATGGAATGTCTGTCTCATTATTTCTTTGTCTCTTCCCCAAGGTGTTAGTTGCCTCGCTCAAGACTTTGTTGCTTCTCTATAATTTATTAGCACCTTTTATATCAGCCTTTATAAAAAAATTAAAGAGAAAAATTATATAAATACACTTTTCTTTATTGTCTTTTAAATATATTTAGAAAAATTTCTCTGTATTATTAAATTTCATACATTAACCAAAAACATGAACATTTATAAACTATAAATCTTTACTCTATATGAATATCTAATGCCGCCAATACACCACATAGACTTATCTTTTGTATATTTACCACTTTAAAATTTAATAATAATTTTGCAACATCCCAAATTTTCTTTGACTTGCTTGAATCATTCACAACAATTGAAATAGGTTTGTAAAATACTTGGTATGCTTTATCCCTACTAGTGTAGTTATAATTTTTAAGCAACAGTAAAGCATAGTTGTGAAGTGATCACCTTTGGAAGAAACAAACTCAAAGTATTTTAAGCATAGTATTTCTTTGAATAAATTACTTGTGATAGATATTTGAACAGAAGACATTTTTCAATAAAGAATAGAATTTAGTAGGAAATTGTTAATTAGTTTTCTGTACTCTGTAGAAAATTGAACACAAAAGAAAGTTATATATCTTAAGTTGAATATATATTGATTCTCAATAATCCAATGAAAATCAGGATGGGATATCATATAAAAATAGACAACGTCTATAATTTGCAAAAGTGACCTAGTAAAATTCCGCAGAACAAATTTATAAAATTTTAAATTTGAAATTCATGTGTGGTCTAAACCCAAAAGGAACTAGCAAATATTTATATTAAACATCAAGCCGCATTCAATATTAGTTGGTCACATGAGTATTTATGTAAAAAATAACATTTGCACTAAATCACCCACAGAAAATCTTCCGGTGTAAAAAATATACACACTTACGTGTTTGTATTAAAACATTCAATATAAAGGCAAAGACTCATATAACAGCCATATTTTATGTCTGATCAGTATTTGTTTTTCATGTGCCCGTATTCAATCAAATTACTTTATTTCAAAAAAAATTAAGTAATTTGATAGGATGAAAAATAAACACTGTGTCTGACTATTTTTTAAATATTAACTGTAGATATTGAATCTGCAGTAAAATTTCACAATTGCATGTTGATTGGCCAATAATGAGTTTGTGTAATGTAATACAATCATGAAAAATACAACCCATTTTTTTTGAAAAAATTGCTTGCTTCTTTGTTTCTCAGAAAATTTTGCATAAGAGCAATTATTGCGAGAAAATTTTATAGTAGGTAGCATAAAGTATGGAAAATAAGCACAGCACCCTCTACCCTACTTTTTTCAACTTCAGATTAGCAGAAATAGCAATAAGCCCTTTAATAAAGTTAATTTCTGTTAATCTGAAATTGAAAAAGCAGGGTAGAAGGTGCTGTGCTTATTTTTCATACTTTTAATTGGGATATTTAAGAAGAACGGGTTCTTTGTATTTTTTGCTAACCCAATTTTGTTTTTTTTTTGTGCGAACAGCTGTATAAATTAAATTACCGATTTACCGGCAAATTTATTGTGACAAACAAATTTTTCTTAAAAAACGTAAAAGGAAATAAATCTAAAGGTTTATATATCGGCCGTAAATAAGGAATCAGATCAGTAGTTGTGTTAAATGACTATTAGCAGCAGTACAGAAGAGCCTGTAGTCAAATTTTACGCGATTGTCTGAGTTTCGTCTTTCGTCGAATGGGCTTATCGGAAATGGATCAGAAGCAAGAAAATCTTAAGCCTGGAAAAGTTTACAGATAAGACTGGGTGGGTATAAAAAGGAAAGATGCACCCTGAAACGTTCCAATAGACAGGTGGTAGGGCACAGTTATGCATGAGAATTTAAATTATTTTTGCAAAATCGTATTCTCGGCAAAAATTTCGGCATTGCTAAATTTTTTTGATGAAAAAGTTCAAAAAATTTTGGCAATAATTTCGGCAAATATGAAAATTAATTTCGGCACTATATAAGTCTAATTTCGGCCGTAATTGCTTTTTTATTAAGATGAGCACCCATGTATAGGCAGTTTTAATCAGTACAGCAGTATAAGGTAAGTTATACCGAATATCTGGCTCTGGGTCTATTAGATAATTGAACATCGTTTATTTATTTGTTTAGCAAAATTGAATATCCAAAATAAACATTTCTTTATTTAGAAAGGAGCCTGCACAAAATTTGAATTTCTTTTTTTTCTTTTACATCGATTATTACTTCACCTGCATGATCTAATTATTATATTTGCATTACCCCTATCACGGTCAATTACATCAGGTTATCGTCAGGTCTTAGTACGAGGAAGCCGCTTCAGGCTAGAGTTTTATTTTTAATTGAATATGGAAAAGGGAAGTTTCTGGTTGTGAAACATAATTAGATTGTTGACATTGGAAAATATTGAACATACCATGATGTGAAAACTTATTGTGAGGCCTAATTTCTTCTCACTTCTGATTGGATATATGAAATCCTTGATTTGACAAAATAGATTACGCAATTTTCTGCCAAATTACCTTTCACATCTTAATAAAAAAAAAAAAATTCATTGCAAAATTTTAGTAGTATCTATGTCTTATTTGCTTTAATACTAGAACTATACTTTTTTTTGTATTTGATCTTTTTTTTTGGTCATGATATCAGATCGGAATTTGTAATCATTTTTGCCTTACAACATCATTTTCTGCTATATATATATATATCCTAATATTATAAAATGATGCCTGGTCATGCTGATGTACCCTCAATGAAATTTGATTGGCTGCGCTAAATTAGCCAACTTTATAGGATTATGATCATCGCTAAACTAAATTATTGTGACATTTGAAAAGCATTGCATGCATAGTAAAGATTGGATGAACCAGTCTGAAGTACCGGAGACAAGCATTTATTAACCTGCGAATGCAGTTATGATTTAAGCATAGTTGACACTGAAACAGATAAACTCCCGGAAATAGCAACCAAAATTGCGCCAGGAATCACCATAAGCAATTACGTTTAAGATGTACAGCATTGGCCGGTGGTTTCCCGCCTGCATAATGCAGGCCGGCCATCAGAGCAAAATTGTAAATAACCAAACTTAGAAATTATTATGAAAATGTCAGGGGGGAGGGACCGGGTCACAAAATAGCCTACTCCTCGCAGCAGAAGTGGTGGTTCTAGACGCAGCAGCTTCCTTTTATCTTGTGGCCTGCTTGCTCTAAACTTGACCAGGTTGTTTGCACTTGCTGTTTGCGGAAGGTCATTTTACATCATGCTTACCTTCATTTGGATCTTCACCTGAATCCCGTGTTTTTGGCGCCAATCTTCACATGCAACCCCCTGTGGCTTACACTCCGTAATTAACCCGGCCCCTAGCAGTACCTACCCCTGCTTAGTTGACTTTTCGATCCGTTGACTCTGCATACGCCTGTATGCACGTCAACTCAAATGATCATTTGCATGATTAATGTCGTAACAGGATCGTAATCGATCTAGGATTAATAATCAATTGAAGAAACGGCCAGTTATATTTTTAATTGTCGTCTATGATTTTCAAGAGTCGACTTTCGTTCATTATACGCATTTTGTAGATGTTAGATTAGATAATGTTAGTTGAATATCAAGTACTGTATAGTCGGAATAGTAAGGTTTGAAGCAGACTTTTTTACAGTAACTCACGATAGAAACCATAATAATTCTAGCACAAATTAACTCAACCTTAACCAACCACATATTGTGATTATTAGAATAGTGAACAAGTTTTGTATGTGTTTTTTTGCAGTAACTCACGAAATAATTCTAACGCAAACTAACTCAACCTTAATCGCATATTGTAATTATAAGGCCACGCAAAGCTAATTTTTAGTTTTGCATTACATGGATTTCAAAATCAACGGTCGGTCGGTCGGATTTTTTTATTTTTTATTTTTTTTTAATCTACAGTAATTAATAGACTCGTGCTCATATTTAAGATCACGCATAGTTAATTTTTCGCTTTGCTTAACATGGAATTAGAAAATTGGGTTGGCAATCGAATTTTTTTTTATCAGTTCTATCGCACAATTCCGAAAACAAGGGCTTTACTGGGTAATACCAGATTAATTTATGAGAAAAATTAAATGCAAAAATAGAACAATTGGGATCTAAAAAAAAAAAAAAAATTGAAAAATTGAATAAAATGGGTCAGCGGGTAATGCAAAACAAAAAATTAACTTTGTGTGCCTTAGAATAGCGAGTAAGTTTTATACAGGCATAAATTTTCACTAATACCATTTGGTGGAGGATTACGTATTTGCCCTGGAAGAAAGTTAGCAATAATAGAATTACTTTCATTAATGGTAGCAGTATTTGGAAAATACGATGTTAAGGCGCCGTTAAAGACAGAAAGCGGAGCAATAACTATTTATAAAGAATTACCAGTTAAAATTAGACCTAGAAAATATCCATTGTAGTTATTATAAAGTTTATTTTTGACTTTTTTTGTTTGAGTTTTTAACTTATAGGGCCCCACAACAAAAGAAGGGGATGGGCCAAAATTTTTTTTTAAAAAAAAATTCAATATCTGGAAGAATTAAATTGATTAGAATAAAATTATTCTAAAATTAAACCATTGATTTTTTGGTCCATCCCCTCCTTTTGCTGTGGGAGGTCCCATATAATAAAATACTTTATTAAATCGACCATTAACAAAAAGTAAATATTGATTCGAGCAAGACTTGAGATTTTGCGACCTTTTTTTTAGTGTATTC